TGAACATACCATGGACTGTCAAAACAACCAGTCTGTCTTGGAGAGGCTGAAGCCAAGTTTCTCCTTGGAGGCTAGGATTTTTGGAGCTCTGCCTCACTGACCTTGGGAACATTGCCAGGAGAGACTGGTCCTTGAGAGAAGGACATCATGCTCAGAAGGGTCAAGGGACAGCACAGGAGAGGAAGACCCCAGATGAGATGGATTGATACAGGATCTGGGGCAATGTGGGTTGGTTTGTCGGAATTAGTGATACTGGATCAGGACAGGGAAGGGTTCAGAGCTGCTGTACAAAGCTGGTAACTCAATGGCACATAACAACATACTATATTGGTTTACTTAAGCCTCTTGTTTAGAGTCAACAAGACTTCAGGAGGGACTCTGTATTTAGAGTTGGTTGTTACTATATTTTGGAAGAACATTTTTCCAAGTGGTATAGCACACTTCTGTCCAAATGCTGTACTGAGGTAATCTGGGGTTGCTGTGATGCTAAACCTTGTGCCATTGGGGTGTCAAATGCCATAACGGTTACCCATGGTGGACAGTGTCTGATGGAGCTCCCAGTTTAAGACAGGTTTTGGAAGCAGGAGTGGCATCCACTTCCTAAACAACATGCTTTTGGAAACTCTATGAACTTTGATAAACGTCAATAGTTATAGAAAGGCTTCAGGCCTTTTGTTCATAGGATCACTATGAGTCATTCTCAACTCAATGGCAATAATCAACAATATTGTTGTGTACTGTTGAGTCAGAATTAACCCATAGCTGATCCTCCAGTGGGTATCAAAGATAGTGTGCCTGTAGACTGGCAGTAAAGCTTCTTATCACTAAGCCACTAGAGCTCCTTTACTAAGATTTAGTCTCAAAAATCCAATGAAAAGTTGCCATCATGGATAGTGGGCACTGGCTTAGGATTCCTACTATTTATTTGGAACATTAATATGTCAGATACTTTAACAGATCCCTAAGCTTATGTCTGGTTAACTGGGGATGAAATCAAGTTTAAAAGAGATTAAGATAAAAAAAAATCTAATAAGTAGTTGTACGGGAGTCTCTGGCTGTAGACCTACTTTCTTTCCTCAATGTGCAGTGAGCAGTAACAAGCTGAGTGAACAGTGGTGTTTAAATTCGGGGGAATCCTAGTGCCATGCTTCTAGGTTCTTGTGCCCTTCAAGCTACATTCTGTTTGATCCTGATATACCACTATCACCACTGTGCCTCCAAAGCTATTCTTTAACTGCTTTTATCTAGTATCCTCAATCAGCCAGAAAGCTCTTTGGAGGCAAAGATGACAAAGCTTTGCCTCACATACTTCAGGCATGTTGCTAGGTATTATTCCTTGGAGGGACATGGTGCCTGGGAATGCCGAGGAGAGGAAGACCCTCGACCACGTGGATCGACACAGTTGACTGTTGCAGTGATATTTAAGGGTCCTCCATGGGTCGTACTCTATTTGACAGCACCTAACAATTTCATCCCCATACTGAATTGATTCTCAGCTTGTCTACTTAAATATTTGATTGTCATCTCTTTCCCCATTTCCCTAGCTAGGAAAAGGTTCCCAATTTCTTTCTTAGGCATAAATTTTCATCTTTTTCCTGGTTGTCATAGAGGCTGCCTTTTGCTTTCTGTTTCATTGAGCAAAAAGCCAAATTTGAGCACTTTAATTTTCAAGTTACACAAAATTACATTTAAATAAATACTTCAAAGAAATTAAAGCAGGATTACCAATTGCTGTACAGAGGTAACTCATAGTTGCTATGATGCTAAACACTGTGACACTGACCTGCCAAATGTGATAATGGTTATCCATGGTGTAAAGTGTTTGGGGAGTTTCCTGATTAAAATAAGCTTGGAAGCAGGAGTGATATCCACTTCAGAAATGGCTTGCCCCCGGAAACTGTGAACAGTGCTCAGGTCCTTCATTTCCAGGGTCTCCATGAGTCACCTACAACTTGACGGGCACCTAACAACTGGCATTGCACTATCAGATCACAAAATTTGAGAACATTTGTGTACTTTGTCATTAAGACATTTCCTGAGAAAACCTTTATCTTGGTTATCCTATTAGTTGTGTTGGTGTGTGACATATTTAAAGTTGCCATTACCAGTCTGATATGGAGCTCTGGTAATACAGTGCAAAGGGTGGTACGCTAACCAAATGGTTTTGGCTCAAATCCGGCAGCTTCTCAGATGGAGACTATTTCCTCTTGCAGTGTTAAAATTTACAGCCTTAAAAACCCAATGGAGGGTCACTATGAGTTGGAGTGGACTTGCCAGCAGTACCTTTTTTTTTTTGGACAAACTGGTAAACATGTCAGTGTTGTGTACTGTCGAGTCAGAGCTGAACTTCCACGGGTTTTCAGAGGCAGTTAATCACATGGAAGGAGAGTGGCCACCCTCCTCCTGCAGAGCAGCTAGTGATTCAAAACATGTACCTACAGGACTGCAGTGCAGTTTCTTGCCTCCAGAGCTCTCTAATACATGTCAGTAGAGCTCACCATGTAAAAAAATCACTAAGAGCCAGGCATAAATGGTTTGGACATTCATGGTCAAAATTTGTAAACTCAAAACACGTGTATAATCCTGTGTATTTAACAGCACATAAAAATGGAGTACATTTTCAGCATACTTCTTAACCTCAATGTCTCACAGAAGGTGGCATTGAGGGTCTTATCTAAAGCTTAGACTGGGCAGCTCTATTTCAAAACTTAAAAAAAAAAAATTTATTAATTTTAATGGAAGTTTACAGAGACTTAGGGTTTCCAGTCATTCACTGTTGCACTTTTCTCCCTGCCAACCTCTTCCCCACCCCCCAATACACTCTTCTTGAAAAGAAAAACTCATTGTTATGCAATCCTTCACAGTCAGGATTCAGTTCTTCCAAGGGCAACGAACTGAGCCTGTTCAGTTCATTACCAGATGTTTTAAAAGAGCTGTCTATTTTGGCACACGACAACTAGTTTCTCTAAGACGGAATTGGAGAACATGTCAGAAGGGTCATCCTAGCCTTTTTCTAATCATTAGAAGTTAATTTAAGGGCAGGGAAAATCAAAAGCATGGTAATCCTCCACTGGGTGTCTGAAGTTATAAATCTTAGCAGGAAGAGAAAGCCTTTTCTTTCTCCTATGTAACAGCTAGTGACTCTGAACTGCTAACTTTTAAGTTAGTGGCCCAACATTATCCCATCAGGGCTTCACACAAAACAAGGACATAATGTCTGCCTAGGGTCATCTTAGAGGCTGCTTACTATACAGAAGAAAACAAATATGGCAAGAACGCTATATAGTGTCAATACAAGTAGGACTGTATTTGCATTCATTTGAGTTCTTTGAGGTTTAGTTTCAAATAGTGATAATAGCACCAAATAAAAACTTAATCTTTTGTGAAACAGCTATGTGGCTCCAGTATACTTTAATACATGCTTAAAAAATACCCACACCCCAAAAAGCCAAAACACTGTGGTCAAAGGCAACTATGAGCTGACTCAACAGGAAGTTTTTGAGGTTGTAAATCACATGGAAGGAGATGGTCTTTCTTCTGTGGAGTTGCTGGTGGACATGAATCAGCCACATTAAAGTTAGCAGTTTGACTTATATGGCCTATTCCACCACAGCTCCTAGTACTTGTTATATATGTTACTTTGGGCATATTTTCAGGAGGAACCCGGTCCTTGGTGAGAGATGTCAACTGGGAAAGACAGACTTTCAGTGGGATGGACTGACACTGTGGCTGCCACACTGGCTTTTAGCATAAAAGAAGAGGTTAAGGTTCGGATATATTGTTCACAGAGTTGTTTTAAGTCCTGGATCTAACAATACGTAATATGGAGCTCTGGTGGTTTAGTAGTTAAGGAACTGACAACTAATAGGCAAGGGGTTTGAACCAGTCAGTTGCTCCATGGGAGAAATAGGCTAATGCCCTCCTGTATGATTTACAGCCTTTCAAATATTGCTGGTTGGTTATGTAGGAGTTGGTTGCAACTAGACAGCAATTGTTAAATATACATTAAAAACCCACACACCTTCTCTACTGTGCTGCCAGAGTGAAAAGAGATATGTCTTTTTAAAAGGCATTTAAAAAAAAAAAAAGGCCTTAATTAACACGTTGCCGCAAATGACAGCAAAATGTATTTCTAAGCACGGCTGTCAATTTAAAAGTGGGCGGCAATGTGTAAAAAAAATTTATCCTCTAAATTTTATTTGAGGAAATTCCAATTGTTAGGAAATTAACAATGCATCAATTGTTGAGGAGCAAGTAGCAAGCTAACTTGCTCTGTGAACTTTTACTGAAACCACAATTATAAAAAGAGAAGAAAAAGCTTTTTCTATGTTTTCAACTTGATTTTTATAATTTACCTTCCAACTATCTTCAGGAATGCTCTTATTTTAAATAAATTATAGCCGAGTCCCAATCAAAGACACTTCGAGGCTGTGCACATTTTCACAAGATTGCCCCTTTGTCCTGCAGAGCTGGTGGGTTGGGACCACGGACCTTTCGGTTAGCAGCCCCACATCTAACCAGCTACACCACCAGGTCCAGTGAAACGTCTCCCAGCTACTGGCCCGTCTCCAGGGCTCCTGTCCTTCCAGGGGTCTACCCTATCCCGACCAGGAAGGCCCTGCTCTAGGTCCGTTCCAGAACTCTATTCCCCAATGCCCGCCCTCCCCGGGTACTCGGGCCCTCCCGGCCTGAGAGGCTTCCTCGCCACTCCTGGGATGGGGCTCTTCCACCTTTGTCCCCCAGTCCAGGCCTTTCTTCGGTCTCTTGACCGTCCCTTTCCTGGAGCTCCTGCCGGACCCCTTCATTCTCAGCCCCTCCTCTTTGCTATCCCCGCCTCCCACCTACCCGTGCACCCCGGCCCAGCCCAGAGGTCTCGAGGATTTCCACTTCAAGCCACACAAGGTGTGAGCGACCGCCTCACGTTGCAGCTCCAAAGGCTGGAACCTCGGGAAGGGGCGGGAGGCGCGCTCCGGAACTGACGCAAGTGACGTAAACGTGAGGGCGGGCGGCTGCGTCGGGCTGCAGGAGAAGATGGCGGTCTCCACAGGTCGGTTTCTAACCTAGGCTGCCACTTTTCCGTGTACGACCTTGCTTTGCTCTTCCGGTCCTCTGTACGCGGCCGGGTGCTGACAGTGTGGGAGAAAGCCAAGTTCGCGTTCTCGGATACGGTCACCAGCAGAGCAAAGCCCTGGGGTGGAGGCTCGGGGGCTCGGGGGCTCGGGGGACAGAACGAGCGCTCGAGCGGAGGGCCCGGCCGGCCGGCGGTAGGCGGTGGCGCGTCGAGTTCATGCGTCGGCCGCGCGCTCCGCGGGGCTGGGGCGCGGGCATCCGGCTTCTCGGGGCTGGGCTAGCTTCCGCGCCGAGGGAGGTACGGGACCAGGGGAGAAACCACGGGGGACAGAGAGCAACTTTGGAACAGAAGTGAGTCATTCAAGGGGCGTCTGGGTTGAGTGAGGCTCTAGCGGTGAACTTGCACGGATACGGGGAGGCGTGGGATCCAAGAGAGCATTGTTGCTCTTTAAAATAAGAAAGATTGTTATTTTTACCTGAGTATATGTGTGTCATTTAAAAAATTGCGTTGCATGCACGGTAAAAGTACAGTTTAGATGAAACCTAACCAACGCTTTTTCAGATAAGCCAGCCTGGCCTGAAAACAGTATTTGGTTTGCTATCAGGACAGACTTTAAACTTAAATGTTAAAAAGAGATTTTAGAAATTTGACCCTTTAGAAGTAAATGCTGTGTATTGTCCGTTTTTTAATAATACTTACTGACAAATTAGACTATACGTTTGACTTGATATTCCTTGCATCGTTGCATAGTAAGTTTGGAAATGTAGTAAAATGAAAAACTTCAAGTGTGTGCAGTGAACACTTAAGATAACAACAAAAACAAAACAAAACACCTAATGGAGTCTCCATACATTTTTTTTAAAAATTGTATTATTTTTATGTGTACCATCAAATCAGCTCTGACTGGTACAGGAGGAGATTGCCCCCTCCTTCTCCAGCAGAGCATCTGGTGGATTTGAACCGCGTATCTCTGGGACATTTTCATATAAATGTCTTTTAAATCAAACTTAATAAAAGTGATACTTAAGGTACAGACTTCATAAGTGATAAGATCTTTAGCTTTCCTCACATTGGTGGAGACTAGTAAAGTAAGCATTATTAAGAAAATGACATTTTAGCATTATGACTTTCATTCTTTGTCCTTGTTACTGAATCACACTTTTATGATAGCCTGAGTGTGCCTGTTGATGATAAGAATTGTACTTAGTACCTGTTCTTGAACATCTAATAATAAAATAATGCATTTTAATGTGATAATTTTCCTTTTGTGGATATTACTATTGTGTGCCGTCAAGTTGAAACCAACTCATAGTTGACCCTTCTGCAGATTTTCAAAGGCAGTAAATCACACGGAAGGAGATTGCCCTCCTTGCTTCAGTGGAGCACCTGGTGGATTTGAACTTGGTGCCTCTGGGTTGACACTGCAACTTCTTTTCCCTAATATTAATCAGGTTTTTTCTGACATTATAGACAACAACTAAGGATGGTAGAAAGAAAATAATGACTTTGTGCTGGGTGCTGGAGAAGAGTACTGAATATATAATGGACCACTAGGAGAACAAACAGGTTAATTCTAGAGAGGGTGAAACCAGGCTGCTCCTTGGAGGCATGGATTCTGAACATACTTGTTGCAAGAAGTAACTGGTCCTTGGAGAGGGACATCTTACTTGGAAGGCTGTGGACTCAGTGACTAGGATAATGGGATTAGGTGTGTCATTGAAAATAAAGTTGGCACAGGAAAGGGCAGGGTTCAGAGCTGTGCTGTTGTACATGGGGCCACTATGAGTCACTAGTGACTCAATGGCATTTAACAACAACAAATTTACATGAGGAAACCAAACCTACTTTGAGTCCGTTCTTGGTGACTTGCTAGCTGTTGTCCAGGGCATAAATCTGTATGAGAGAAGGCTGTCCATCTCTATTCTTTGGAGCCGCTGGTGAGTTTGAACTCCAGACCTTCTGGTTAGCAGTACAGTACGTAATGTACTATGAGGGCCCCTTATATATGTGAGAGAGTGTTACAATATTTTTTAAAAAATTAAAGATTAGATAGTAACAATGAAAAATGTTCTTTCTTAACCACGTTTAGTCATTTTTTGGAAGTTGAATATAAATTATAAAGGAGTTGCTGATATTTAGTGTGTATGTAGTGTATATTGGAAGCCTGGATTTTCTAATTTATATTTCAACATTCTGTTTGTTAAAATTTTACGTATGAAATTTGAAGCCTTGGCATAATTCTCTCTCATTACTGTCATTCAACTCATAGTTGACCCTCCATTGGGTCCAGTGGGAGGAATTTGCGCATCTTTCTCATTCAGAGCTGCTGGTGGCTTTGAATTGTGAGAGAGGTGAAGTTTTGGATTAGTGCAACAGACTATGCCAGCTGAGCTCCCTGTGGCATAATTAGACAGCTTTCTTCAAGCCACTGAAATTCCATTGAGTCTGTTGTTAGAAACTCACCCTCGTTAATTTTTTTTATTGTCCCTTTCCTATTTTAGATCACTGAAATATTGTTCAACTGTGAGAGAAATGTGTATAACAGCTATTCTATACTGGTTTGAAAGAATTTAGTTTCAAAATATACTTTGTACTAGCTTACTTTGATATTCTTTACATTCTGGTATCATGAAAGGGAAACACCACCACCCATTGCTGTTGAATTGGAGCTGACTCATAGCTGACCCTTCTGTAGGTTTTTCATACTGGAGGAAATTACCCCTCTGTCTCTCTTGGCCAGCTGGTCGATTCTCACATCCTGCCTTTGGGTCAACAGTATAACTCCTTTCCCACTAGGCCACCAGAGCAAACTGTAGCTATCTATTTGTGAAATAAATGTGTTATAGTTTGAAATTTAACATCATATACTATGCAGTTTTTGAAGTATGAGCCAAAATATCTCCATACAACAAAAACAAAGACTCAGCACCAACTTAACTGAAAGAAATTTTCATTATTAAAGCATAGTATATGTATACGTTTGAAAATAATGTGTTTTCTGTGAAGATTTACACTACAAATTAAATTTCTACTTAGTAGTTACTACCCATTGTTCAGGGAATTCTGTTGGCTTAGTGGTAAGAATTTGCACTGCCAACCCAAAAGTACTCAGTTCTAATCCACCAGCTGCTCCATGGTAGAAAGATGAACAGTCTCCCTCTGCATAGTTTACTGCTGCTAAAAGCCCACTAGAGAGTCAGCTGTGAGTTGGTTTTGACTCTATGGTGCATACATACACACACACGTATTGTTCAAGGAACCTTGGCGGATTAATAAAGTGTTTGTTGGATGGCTAACCAAAACATTGGTCTTGGGGGCTAAGAGACTCTTCTGGAAGAACCATCACGATTGCCGTCCAAGGTGAACCCCACCCAGTTCAAACACATGTTGGTGAGCTATGGTAGTACTGGAAAAATGTTTGTGAACCGTCATCGGATTGGTGAATTTGAGAAGCATGTAGCCACCTTGGGTGTGGGAGTCCATTCCCTTGTGTTCCACAGCAAAAAGACCAATTAAATTCAACATGTGGGATACAGCTGGCGAGGAGAAATTTGGGGGACTGAGGGGTGGCTCTTATATCCAAGCCCACTGTGATATTGCGGTGATTGATGTAACATTGAGAGTTACCTAAAAGAATATGCCTAATTGTCATAGGGATCTAGTTCAAGAATGTGAAACATCCCCATTGTGGTGTTTGCAACAAAGTGGACGTTAAGGACAGAAAAGGTAAAATTTATCATTTTCCACCAAAAGAAGAATCTTCAGTACTATGATATTTCTGCCATAAGTAACTACAACTTTGAAAAGCCTTTCCTTTGTCTTGCTAGAAAACTAATCAGAGACCCTAACTTGGAGTTTGTTGTTATGCCTGCTCTTGCCCCACTGGAAGTTGTCATCGACCCAGCTTTAGCAGCACAATTAAAGTATGATAAAGATGTTGCCCAGAAAACTACTCTCCTGGACGAGAATGATAATCTGTAACAGAATGAAGCTGAGTGTCAGAAGTCAAGTTTATAGGAAACTGTCCTGTGATGCCAGTGGTGCCGCATGTGTGCTACTTTATTATCTAACTAATTTGAACATGTGTTAATCTTTGGGATCCTGAAGAACCTGAATGGGCTTCGGAGTGAGTTTTTGGACCTGCGTAATTTACTGTTTTGGAAAGCAGTTCCCTTCTTGAGTTTCAAATACAACACTGCTACAGTCTTATCACACAAACAATCTATAAGAGAAAGATGGGTTTATAATAAATAGCCTGTAGAGATTTACAGGCTCAAGAACTTGACGCAGGGTTCCTGTGAGTTGGAATGGACTTTATGGTAATTAGGGCTTTTTTTTGACACTTCATAGTTTTCAGTGACATCAGTTACATTTTTTCCTCAGTATGTCAATATTTTCTTTAACTCTGTTGTGTGTTTCCAGTAATGTAGTTTCTTTGTCTCTTTTTGATCATTGCTATAGAGAAATTGTATACAATTTGAATCTTAATAACTAATTCCTGTTGAGTCAAAACTGACTCAAAGCCGACTCTTCAGTGGGTTTCTGGAGGTTATAAATTACACAGAATGAGATTGCTCATCTTTTTTCCTTCAAGTTGCTGGTAGATTTGAAATACCCAGCTATACCTTTGGGTTAGCAGTTCAACTCCTTACAGAGCCCACTATATAATTGTTGACCATATGGTCTTATATAAATGATTTCTCTTTAAAGTGTCCAGTATTGAACTGGCTCCATTTATTTTATGAGCCTTTTAACTAAATAACAAGTTAGCTTATTGATTATCTTAGGGTGATAATTTAATGAAGTACTTTAGTCTCCACCAGTTTAATCTAGATTTTAATTTTTAAGGATTTGAGGCCTGTTTCATGTTTTTCCTCCCCTGCTTTTAGGGTCTGTCTATTAGGAGTCCTGATCAGAGTAGGGTGGTTGTTATTTCTAGTTGTCTCTTGTTGATTACCTTCGAGTTGAGCACGACT